GACTGCTCATTCTGCATGTATGATCGTCTCATCTCAGAGTTTCACAGTATGCCATGAAGCATGAGGTCATGTTATAAATATTTTATGGGCTGTATAACTGATATCCTGACTTGACTCTGGCCCAAACTTTATATCATGAGAAACACTCCCAGTCCCAGCCACCTCCTGGGTGGAAGAATTGTCATGAATACTATTTTATAGTTGTATTAAAGCATCTAAAACTTCAGTAAAAATTGCCCCGTTTTCATATATAAATCTGTCCGCTGTATTTGTGCCCTGTTTTTTTGAAGTACAATTTTTTTTTCACATATCATTTCACATATTACTTAAACTTTCTGACCATTTCATTGATGGGAAACTTTTTGTTTGAAGGTCTTGATTAAGAATTTTACAAATTTAGACGCCCGTTGTCTGAGTTGACGTGTGCACTCACTCTCATCCTGCTACACTTTGGCTATTGAGCAATACATCACATTTTTAAGTGGAAGTACAACTCTCTAGAGAATTTAATGTACTGTATAATGAAGTCAGTTTCTGAAAGTGTGCCGGGCAGGAGAGCAACTAAACATAGCTTCTGAGAATAGCAGCGACTGTCACTAGTAAATTGATTGATCAGAGAGAAGAGTGGAGTCGCAGACTCTCCCTTTAATTTTTTAATTCCTGTCTCTGTCTGTGCTTTTTTCCCCCACCACATTCTTCTGAGGGAGTCTTTGTGTGGTGTATAAGGTATAATTAATAAAATGCTACTCTTTCTTCATTAATGACTCGTATTGACGTATTGCTGCCAAAGTGAGCATATGTGCTTGTGGTTTATAATTAATTACTTTGTTTATACCTAGCGTCAGCAAGTTAAATACTGAATGTAAAAAACATTAACAGAATTTAGACATCAATGGGTGAGAGGTAAAGCTACATTGTGTGTAAAATTAATTGCCTAATGCATCAAGGTCCGAGGAACCAAACCAGACGTCATGGCAAAACATGGCATTAAAGGCATCAGTGTGAGGCTACAACAGGAACATAAAAATGTATCTTAGAGCTGATCTTTTGTTACAATGGTAAATTAAAAATGAGGCTTTACACACAGTTTTTTAAATAGACCGAATATAAAACACAGTTTTTGCTTTTCTTGTGTTAAAATCTTTAGGTGGGGTACTCTTTGGGATCTGTGCATGACCTTTTCTTTTTAACTGCTACCCAGCATTCAGAAATTATTACCTTTGCTTCAACTGAATTCCTTAGCCAGGCCAACATCACATTAATCTTGTGATGGTCTGTCTTTACAGTGTACTGTGTTTTATGCACTTACTTGTTATTAGTTTTTACAACAGCATTTGGAAACATTTTGCCCAATTTTTGGCCATTTAAACTTTTATTGCATGAGTGGCTTGGTGATCATTGTGTAGGTAATTGGTCTCCCACCAAGAAGACCTGGGTTTCTGCTAAACTATGTGCAATGTGTCTATAAGCAAGACACTCAATACCCCAGATGCCCATCATTTCTCAGTACTGGTCTCAAGCCTGGGTGTATTGTTGTGATTTGTGTGGTGACCCTTGAAAAGCTAAGAGCTAAGAATTGGAACTAGTAAACTGTGTTAAACGTTTAAATGTATTTATATTTGTATAATATGCATCCAAACAGTACTTATAATTATTTGGTAGCATTGCTACCCCAGGAGGTTTGTTTTTTTCAAAGGTAACATATTTTCACCAGTCAGTGTTGCCCCGCAAAACAATGCAAGTAATTGCCAACCACACAGTGTTTTTAGCCAAAGACCCTTTTTTATAGCCAAAATGTTACCTGATGATGACGAATAAACCTTTTTATTTGATTGTACAGTACTTAGTCTTTCATATTTTTCTCATCATTTCCACCACTCCTGTGTTGCCAGACCTGTGTTAATATTTAGGAGTAGCCACGTTTGTGTGACTCTGTAGGAGTGAATAACCCTGAGTGTGTGTGCTGCTAAGTTCACACTGGTTGTCTTTGTTTATCTGTCCATCGCAAAACTGTTGGCACTGCAGTTTCATCTGAAACTCACTGCTTTAACACGACTGAAAAAACATGCATGTGTTAGTTTATTAAGGTAAGATGTAAACATTTCATTGTATTTACTAATCAACATTTTTGGATATCCTTTCTTTAAGGTTTATTTATTTATGTTTGGCCAACTTTGGGTATTTTTGGCCATAGTCTAGCTCTTGTTTCATAGTCTTTGACTAATTTGTTGTTATTTTATACTTATCTAGCCTAGAGGATCGCTGGTCTTTCTGAAATAAACATAATTATACTCTGTAAACGTTTGATTTTGATGTTTCTTCGATAATTGGCCTGCTTTAGTTAAAATCTTCAAACAGTCAAAGGTCTAGGACTCCTTCCCATTTTGTGGAAAAACATGTTAAGCATGTTACTGGTAGTTTAGACTCTTTGTCACTTGGCCTTAAATTAATTAAACCCCTCCCTTAGGGAGCTATTTACAGGTGAAACCACAAAGCTTAGTAAGTATTTGCAGACACTATATTGGTGTGGATCTAGCGAGTTTAAGTGCATCTGCATCAGTGCCACTGAGTGGTGTAGTCATGTGGTCACCAACAGTTGGTGTATATCATCATCATACAGCTCTCAGGAATACAAAGGGATGATTAGTCACCTGCCAAAGGAAATATTATGTCACTGAAAAGCAAACAATAAGAGGTTAAACTAAGAATGACAAAATAATAATGTGTTTTCTTTGTGCTTCTGTGCAAAGGTTAAAGAAGCATATAAAAAAAAACGTTTAGAAGACGGTTAGAGAAAAACAGTTTTCATAATGATAGGCTGATTCTGTCATAAAACATGTTGTCATAAAACAGTTCCAGGTACCTGTCCTGCAATAATAACTAGTAATGGGATATTTAGTAAAGCTGAAAAGGGGTTTAATTTTACTTCTTGTATTTGACTGTTCTTAAAACACAACAGTTACCACAGTTCATGTTTTTCTTCCTCTTTTTCCTGCTGTGGTAACCCCTGCTACCTTCAGTGGTTATCACAGATTGTCGGCCTTCACTTACTCTATATTATGCCTTTTTTTCCATCTATACATTTATTTAAATATCCTTCTTCTTCTACTCGCCTTTCCCTCCAAACCTTTCTCCTTTTCTACTATTGCTTTCTACTGTTGTTTTGTCACTCTTGATCTTTCATGATTTTCAGTGCTACTGTTACTGGTCCTGAAGCCTGTTAATATAGTGTCAAGAGAGGGTCAAGAGGGTTCAATCTGTTCCTTTTTTACTTCCTTTATTTTGTTATTGAGCAGTCTCTTCTGTAAGCGAACACTCATTCATGTGGAGCATGAGTCATTGCCCAACACTGTTTGACTTTTGTCCCATACTTGTTTTCTGCTAAACAAAAGTAAAGAAAATGTCACTGGCTATCAGAAAGTCAGTGACCTCAACAGCTTGTCATTGCACAAGTCATGCAGACCTTAAGACGCAGCTGCACGTCAGGCCATCACACCATGCTTGAAATCAGATTACTGAGTCACTTTTGTTCCACTAAGTAGCAGTAGTACATATCCAACCACTCTAAGGATCTCACTCTCGTTGCTGCCAAATTCTTCATGAATAGAATTTCCTGGCTTTCATTGTTTGCGTTCATCCCATATTCAAGCAGCACCTGTTTTTTGTTTTGCTTGTTTGCACAAAGTATGGTTCATTATCATAAGTGCTTAATGCATGATATGTGTCACATTTTTATTTAATCATTGTGTAAATTATAAGGACTTGCTGAATAACAAATTATTAGAAATTTAAGTTTTGGAGTTGGATTCTGGCATAATTAACGTTTACGATAGTTTAATTATTTAGCTGTGAAGGTTGGTAATCAATGCAGCACTAATGTGATTCAACAACACAGAAAGAAGATGTTGATGACCTCATGGTCAGAGCCCAAATTTTCTCATACTAATTCATTCACATGTCATTATGTACCAAAGGTAGAAACACAGGCTCTCTCATAATATTATAGTCTAGTATCAGCCCCAACAAAAATAATTTTTCCCACCAGCTTTTCTATTGCATGCTTTTTCATTTAGCATACACTCTCTTTTTGTTTTGAAATTGAGAAGAAAAAAACAACTTCTAGGCGAAAAGCAGAAAGTATTGACATTCTAGCAGTTTTTTTTTCTCCTGTTCATTCTTTTTCCTGCTATTTTCCATTCATTTGCGCTCCGGTCGGCTGGTCTGCAGTTGCTCGTATCGATTCTTGAGCCATTTCTCCACTGTAAATGACCAATACTACATTATGTGGAGAAAAGTCAGCTGTGGTCTTTGTGTGTGCAGTGAGATGGAACAAAAGTTAAAAATAGGGAAAGTAAGTGGGAGGTAATGTTGAGTCCAATCTAAGCAGGCCTTAATGTGAAAAGTACAGGAAGGACTTTCAATGAATTAGCTTATTGGTTAAAGATGCATCTTGTGAAGCCATGCTGCTGTCACCGATGTTAATGTCTGCTGCACATTTTCCTGATGGTTAATTGTTCAACAATAATTTGTACATTGTTGTTTAAATTTTTTTATTTTATTTCAAAATTGCTTTAAACTTACTTTAAATGGAAAGTTATGTCGCACTGTAGAGAAATTCTGCAATCAAGGCAACACAGAAATTCCAAAATTAATCAATTCCCATTATCAATTCTCCTAATTATGATTTTCTGTTTGCACACTATTTTTTTTGTCCAGAATGTGTGTTTGCTTTGGAGAACATATTTTAAAAGGTAGGCATAGGGCCAGAAGTACTCCCAACAGTGCCCTGCAGTCCTTTGAATCAATAGTTGAGACTAAGATTGTTTGCCTAAATCTCAATAGTAATGGTTTTTAATTAATTTATTGGACTGGGTTGCGAGTAATATGAGTAACAACTGTCAGCTTAACCATATAAATTGGTATTTAAATGCCATTAACATTTGATACACTCATTGACAATTCTTTATTATATATAATCTTATTTCCTTTATTGTAAAACTGAAACTCCTTTAAAAAAACCCAAACCAAACCAATAAAAAACAACTTCTGGATGCCACCTGATGAAAATCTGTTAGTGTGTGAGCTCTTCTGCTTCAATAGCGATTCAGGGTTTGGATTCAAGAAAACCAGAACTTGCAGTGACACGCAGTAGAGATAAGATGTGCCATATGATACTGAACCAAAAATGAACTCACCGTGAGGACAAAGTCCCAGCTGAAGACTTTTGCCCGAGGTGTAGCAATAACAGTTAACAGTCATTCATCTTGACCTTATTTTTCTAATTCAAATCTACCCCATTAAATTTGAATTTCCCCAGAATGTACCCTTGGTCTATGGTAAAAATAAAACCCAAACAAACAAAAAAAAAAAAAAAACAAAAAACAGAAATACTAGAGCTTTTAAGAAATTGTACATCAATGCTATCACAATCTGACAGACACATTTTATTGTTTACTGCATTCGATACACACACTTGGAGTATTGTTGCCGTTGACCTTGGGGGCAAATCAATAGCATCAATATTAAAAGCTCAATATCATCTATGCTTTAAGGACATTAATGTTTATTAATGGTGTTGCTGTAGTAGCTTCAGGGTCAGTTCATTATGTTGAGAGAATAAGATATTAAAAATTCATATAGGAGTAGACTGAATGCATTCATGTTAATTTTACTGATGGTCTTTTTCTAATTGCATTGCTTCCCTTGTTTTTTTTTTCTTACTCATGGAAAAGAAAAAGCTGCACCGACCACTTACTGTAAGGCCAGTTAGGGTAAAGTGATGCACAAGGGCCAGGCATATAGGTTAAATGTTGGAGCGCTAGTAAAGCTCTTCCATGACCTTGATTCACCCCAGGAGGTCAAAAGCCTCTGCCCTTTAGGCCACAGTAGTTTCAGTCCTCTATGTTCTTTCCTCTGTCTCATCTTTTCTTAGACATAATGATTTACAGAAAAACAGACAAGATGGTGAAATTGTCTGAATGATTGATTTGGTTTTACTGAGTTTGCATTTGAATTATAATTCAACCTCACCCCAGGAATTAAATTGAGAAAGAGAACAAAACAACATCATTTAATTGCTCTATTAAGTACTGTAAGTAACCTTACCGTTATATTACATAGAACATGCTAATGAGTCACGTTGCTTCCTGTTGCCAGCAGACATGTGGCAGCTGTTCTCTGAAAACTGAAACTTCAACATTTGGATTTTGCTCAGATACCGTGAACTGTGGTTGGCGGCGGTTTATGAAAATTGTATTCTGCTCCATTTTCTCAGGATCTAATATTTTGTCACAGTAGGACTTTTTCATAATATCCGTAACTTCAAAATCTCATTGCTTCTTTTCTGGGTCTTTCCAGCAAGACTAGTAGGTGCGTGTGCACTGCTTTGCCATTGTGATACCACCGTTAGTATCTAATAGTAACTGTTTGGAAACTGCTGCTAGGTCGGCTGCACTTGGCTGTGAAGGCTACAGACTCTCACAAAGATGAGCTCTCAATTCAAGGACTTGTTTATTTAAGATCTCTTTGATGCTAATGTTTGCTGTAGGTACCACCCTTATCTTTTGCATCTCTTATAATTAAACTAGATGACCCTGTTCATGTTGGCTTCATTCATTTTATGTGAAACATGTTTCCCTAGATTATTATACGAGTCACTGGAAAGTTCTTACTGATGTTGTTTTAGAATTTAATTTTCTTTCAACAATGATTGACTCTTTAGCAGCCCTCGGGCTATAATTTGGTGTAATGAGTTCCAGTTACTGACAAGAGTTACTCCTCATCATTTCTGTTAAATTCATTAAGACAGGAATGTTGTTAATACTTAAAGTGCCCCAAACA